ATTCATATTGATATTTTGCCGCTATGTGAAAAAATCCAGCAAAATGCGCCGGCGCGTTTGTCGACCCCAGAGGATTAACTTTAGCCTAACCATAAATTGTGATTAAAATATACATGATCACTCACATCAAGACGCTGCTGCGCGGTGGTGGAGTCCATGCAGGAGGAGTTTGGCACTGCGTCGCTTTTCAACGAGAGCTGTGTGGAGAAGCCCATTTCCACCTCTATTCCGTTACCATCCTGACCACTGTACTAAATACAGATAAATCTACGCTAACTTGAAGCTATCCTAACTGATGCAGTACTATGCTACTAACTAACTAACTAGGCTACACAAAATAATCTAAATAACTATATAAATGCTATGCTAAATACATGCTAAAATATATCCTGATCGTTTTCAGAGTAGAGTATTGTGAGAGATAGAGTAAGCGAGTGTACCTGCATTTACAGTAGACATAGCATTTTCCTTTAGGTCAGTCCTATATTCATAATAAAAAAATCCGCTTGAATGTCCGCTGCGATATCTTGTTCTTTTAACAGTTAAGGGTTTTTCCCGTGCCCTAGTCATTTGTCAGTTGCGTCTTGCTTTTCCGTGTTCACAAGTTTGAGTCCTTTGAATGTAAGTCTTCACTACTGACTGACTCACTCATAAAGACTGGCGAAATAATGTATGTAACTTCTGTTGCTGTTTATGGTCAGGGACTATTTTTTCCAGTGGAAGGAAGGCTTTTAGTGATTTTACTTCATGAAAGTTGCTTAGAGACATATTTTTTGGCTTTAATATTTGTATTGTGTGGTAACCGTTTTATAAAAGCAATAAGGTACGAGAGGCTGTGCTGTATCGTGAATAAGTCACGGCTGAATGGCGTTGTTAGGCACGACGCGAAGCGGAGTGCGTGCATAGTGCTTACACTAGTGCTTACAGTATAGTACTTATAAATATTTTCATTACTACTGGAGCTGCCAGTTTGCTAAGTTTCAAATGATTATTATACAGCAAGCACAAACTATACAAAAACGGCAGCCCGTCTGGCGCACTCAGTGTCCGAATTCGCACACTCGTTTTCATTCACTCCTTCAAGGGATCTATATTAGTGGAGTAATGTGGGGAATAGTGAATGAGGGTATAGGGGACAATTTTCAGGTCTGTTTTATCAGGGCTAGAGCTGGGGTGTCCAATCTTGCTCCTGGAGAGACTCTTTCCTGCAGAGTTTAGCTCCAAAAACACCTACCTGGAAGTTCCTAGTCATCCTAAAGACCTTGATTAGCTGGTTCAGGTGTTAATTGGGGCAAGAGCTAAACTCTGTTGAAAGTTGGCTATCCAGGATCATCATTGGACACCCCAATATACATCAGTGCAGTGCTGGAGGCCGGTGTCTTGCAGACTTTAATTTCAACTCTAATTAAACATACCTAACTGTAATTTGCAAGTAATTCTGCATACCTTGATAAGTGTTTGTTTATGGTTGGAACTAAAGGCTGCTGGACACGGTCCTCCAGGACTTGAGTTGTAGAGGTCTCCACCGTTAAAGGGTTAGTTCACCCCAAAATGAAAATTCTGTCAGTAATTACTCACCCTCATGATGTTCTAAACCCGTAAGACTTTCGTTCATCTTCGGAACACAAATTAAGATATTTTTGATTAAATCTGAGAGCTGGATCACTCCTCCATAGGCTTTTAAAGGGATCGAAACTGGCTGGCCCAAAAGTTATTAAAGACATCGTTAAAATAGTCCAAGTGACTACAGTGGCTCAACCTTAAGTTTATCAAGCGACGAGAATACTTTTTGTGCAGCCAACAGAGACGGAAATTAATAGTTGAATAAAGTCGTTATTTTGGTTTGTTTTTTGCGCACAAAAAGTATTCTCGTTACTAGATAAACTTAAGATTGAGCCACTGTAGTCACTTCGACTATTTTAACGATGTCTTTAATAACTTTTGGGCCGGCCAGTTTCGATCTCTTAGGTTTGGAACTACATGAGGGGGAGTAATTACTGACAGAATTTTCATTTGGGGGTGAACTAACCCTTTAAGCTGGGGCCGGGCCATTACACAATTGGGGGCTCGACCGGGACCCGAATTGAGCTGGTTTTAAAGTCAAGACTGAGCTTATTACAATCCAGATAACAAAATGTATGCATCACTACTCATTTCGGGCCAGTGGAATTTGTTTCCATAACTTTCACAAAACCATGTCATGTTAAGTTAAAGCAGGGTTGTTTAATCCAGCTCATAGGGGTCCACTGTCGTGCAGAGTTCAGCTCCAACCTCAATTAAACACACCTGAACCAGCTAACCAAAGTCTTACTAGAACCTTCCAGGTAGGTTTGTTGAGGCAAGTTGGAGCTAAACTCTGCAGGACAGTGGCCCATCAGGACAGAGTTTGGACACCCCTGAGTGCCTGTCTCAAGGCTTCAGTGGTGATAGCTGATGGATCTCCCCTCTGAACCTCTTACCTGTTGGTTAAAAGCCCAGATCTTTCACCAATAAGCCAAGTATCTAGTCTGTACCAGGCTAAGATTTGGTCTACACACATATTGTGATGGGAGTCTGAATTATATTTGCTTATATTAATTTTTTTCTTCTTGAGGCCAAAACTCCAACAAAGTCCGTTTGCATGCTTGACTCATTTTCCATACGCAGATGGGGCCAAAATTATGTTCAAGTAGCCATGGCTTGTAGGAAATGAACTGTCTGAATAATTAGACAAGCTTGACTGCAGAATGTTAGAAAATTTAACAATCCTGTCATAAATTTAGTGGATGGACTATGTAGTAAATCAGAGGTTCATGATGTCATAAACAGAAGGAACACATCAGTGGTTGGTCATATCATTAGATTGGCACTGTCAAGTTTTCGATTTTTTTTCCCCCGCCTGACTGATATCTTGGTTGTGAAATCACGTTCTATTTCATTTTGTATCGAATGCTCTTTCTACATCCTAAATGACCCATTACTAACCAGGCCTTGCCAGCTGCCACCAATCACACGCCAGCAGGACGTTGTCATGACATCTATCTACACCGAGGATGTCTCTTTTTGGAAACTATAGAGAGAGAAAAACAGAGAATGACAAATGAGTTTAGATGGATACTTAATTACATTTATGTGCAGCCTCTGATATTTTGCGCATTATTTGTTCAGGTTTTGCCCTTAAGTCTGCTTATAATGTTTTTTAAGACAAACAAAGGTTAGTTTTACCTGACCATATTCCACACGTTCTCAGTGTCCCTCTGTTTTGAATGGATAACCTCTTTGAATGTAAAAGGAGTAGTTGCTGTATACTTAATTTTAATTTTGGGGTGAACTATCCCTTTAAGTCAACGTTTACTCACCCTTTTGTTTTAATGCCGTATGCCCTTCTTTCTTTCATGGACCACTAAAGGAGAATTTAAAAAATAAAAAAAAAATAAAAAAATGTCCAATTAGCGCTTCTCCATATAATACTGTGGATTTGCAGATGTGTGAGTTTATAGATTAAAGTCCCTATAAAGGCAATTCTAAAAAAAAATTGTAAACCCATTATAAATGTTAGAAATGTATTGCTAAAACATATTACAAAGACTGTGAACTGTGAAGTACTGAATTGTGGAGTTAGACCGTTAAACAGTTTTTCACCATTGCTATTTTCCGGATTTTTAGGGTGGGGCTAAAACGGGGCTCGATGACGCACTGGAGCCCCTGAGCTCGTGGACACGCCCCTACTTGATGACGCACTGAGGCTGGCCCCTCCCCTAACAATAGAGCACATTCGCATCAGTTCGCCGCTCAATCGCGAGTTACTGTCACTATTAGTTACTACAGCCTACAGTTTGCTAGCTAGCTATGCCTTCGACACGGAAATGCGTAGGCTACTACCTGGATGCGATCATGTACAAAACAGATCGGTGTCTTTATTTAAATTTCCTAAAAACGATCACATCAAGAAGAGGTGGATTCATTTTGTTGAAGAGCCAACCTTGATATAGAGCTGAGGATCACCGCCAACACCCGCCTCTGTAGTGATCATTTTACACGGGATAGTTTTATAAACTTTCGTCGGAGACAACTGGGATTCACTGATAATCCGCTGTTACTGGTGAATGGGGCCGAACCGGCTATCTCCCGCCTCGGCCTTCATCTCCCCGTCCCGAAAGCAGTATCACCTAATATCACCGTCGGCAGCTTTCCCGCGAGTGGGCGTGGTTTCAGCACAGCCAGCGGACACGCCCCCAGCGTTTGAGAGCAGCGTTTGAGATACTGCTCATTTTTTCAAGATTTTGATAGCTTATTTTATGTACTTACCGGCTTTTTTTATCATTCAAATTTGGCTGGGTGGCTAATAACACATTTTTCTGTGGTGTGACAACCTCAGAACACATACTTAATTTTGACTTTACAGGGACTTTAATGGTCTCATGGTTGTCGTCAGTTTTCTGAAATTTTTTGCAGTTACAGTTGTGCTTCGATTGCATTTAGGAATGGGCTGGCAGTTTCATGTATTATACAACCTGTATAGTAGTACGTTTGTTTTACTGTAATTTTGCTGTAAACAGTGAAACTCTGTGCTAGACAAATGGAGATTACACTAACACAACCATGTTAACAGCATTTAAGCTTGTCTGTGCTCTTCAGATATTACGCTGTCATGACCCCCACCTCTGATTTCTGACCGTGAGTGATTCCATCAAGAGATGGCTGACCGAGGCCTCTGCAGGTCAACAGACCATTTAGATCAATTCCACCTCATTGACACTGAAAGTGTTCTGCTCTTTGTTCTAAAGCGGGGAGATCTAGATTGCTGTGGTTTTTATGTTTTTCTGAGATGTGGCCTAGTGCAGTGATGTCTCAACCAGCGGTACACGTATCTCACATTCTTTAAGGACGTTGCCCCTTATTGTACCTCCTAAATTGCAGTTTTTTTGTTGTTTTTTTGCAAACTGTAAGAAAGCCCTTTTTGTCTTTAGTTTATACATTCAAAATATACACCCTATTGTTAACATCCATCCTTTTCACAGAATCACGATTTTTGGGACTGGAGCAAAATGGCTGTCTGTTTTGGAGGAGAGAAATCTGAAACCAGGTGAGCTGCAGAACTATTGTCATCTTTTTTTTTTTTTTTTTTTATATCCACCATAGTCTCCTTCCAGGACTCCCTCTCAATGGGGCCTTCCTGGTAAAGTAAAGGATGAGTAAATAAGGTTGTCACTATACAATATTTCAGTAGTCATTACCAATACCATTTTTTTATATTTTTTTTTTATATTTCTTAATATCAATGTAGATACCGCAGCAAAATTAATGTTGTTGAACACTCCACTTTATGTAAAGTTTAATATAAATATAAAATATATGAATATAAAAATTACCAAAAAAAAAAAATTTACACATAGCAGTCAAATATTTCTCAATTAAACATTACTTCAAGGTTTTTAGCCAATAATTTTGTTTGATACATTTTAATGATATATTAAACAATGGCAGGCAGGTCTATTGGGCTACATTTACATGGCAATGCCTAATGCAAAGTTATGTTTTTTTTTTACACATCAGTGTTTTTTGTCTTGCCTGTTTACATTTACAAACCTACTTTTAAGTGTGCACAGAATTATGGCTGTTCCTCACTTTCCCAGCAGTCTCTAGATCAGGGGTCTCAAACTCGCGGCCCGCGGGCCATTTGCGGCCCGCGGGGTGATATTTTGTGGCCCCCTACTTGACATTAAAGTGTAATGTTAGTGCGGCCCGTCGTTGCGTGTGCCGCGTTTTAAATGGGCTACCATACGATGGGTTTGTTGTCAATAGTTGCCATAGACAACCGCTAAGTACAAACATACTGCGCGCCTGGAAAAAATGAGCGCGTCGCTTCAATTATGAGCGCGCTTGCCGCGCACGCGCACCTACATTTGAAATAACGAACTTGAGCGCACAAAATATGTGAGCGCGATATGTGAACTGCCCCTTGTCGAGCTACCACCAACCAGGCCCGACGTGTTGGAGAGAGACCCTGCTTTAAAACAATGTGAGAATAATCATTTTGAGCTTGTAATATGTGTCTAACAGGTTGATAAGAAGGTTTGCTTTGATTTGTGCAGTCAGTAATTTGCCTGAGACACTATAGGCCTACATGTGTAGAAAGAATTCAATAAGACGGGCAGACATGACTGCAAATATTTGTATTTCAAAAGCAATAATTGTTTTTCTAAGTATATAATAAAAGGAAATGTGCCTTCCAAAAAAAACATTCAATATCATTAATGTGTTGTATAAAGAAAATAAAAAGGACATAAGCAAATATAAATATTACAAATATGTGTTATAGACAAAGAAAGTTTGTAAAATGAACTTCAACTGTCAGAAGGACAGCTCATGAAGAACCAATCATGTACAGAAAGGAATGTTCAAATTCAGAGGAACAGTTCAGAAGAAACGTTAATAATAAAGATTGAGAAGATTGGATCAGTTGTGCTCCTTTTTTGGAATACTTGAATACTATTTTTTGTGGAATACTTGATGCGGCCCAGCCTGACCCAGACTCTACCTCCAGCGGCCCCCAGTTAAGTTGAGTTTGAGACCCCTGCTCTAGATGCTACTGGTTCATTCACTAAATCGTTTGTGTGTGCTTGTGAATATTCAATAATAATGAGACAAACTGAAAGTGAATTAAAATGCAAATTACTGTGGAAGACGGGGTTTATCCGTAATGTCTGCCATGAGAGCGATTTTAAACAACAACAACAACAACTTGAAAATGAAATGAAGCTCGAAAACTTTAAATGAAAATCGACCCTATTTTTTCAGGATACACGGCTACTTATGAATGTCTGTCTGTGGAAAAAGATTTAGTTACGCCCATGCTAACCAGCCAAACCTTGACCCCTTAGACACAGCTGTTGCTTTGCAAGTTAAATTTAATTTAACGTTCAATCATTTTAATATAAATGTAAATTAAAATTAAATTAATTTTTCACTAATTTCATATAAATTAAATTAAAATGACATTTAAATCAATAGTAAATTAATTAAATAACTTGTGCTGTGAAAAAGAAATAAATTGAAGTAATATTAAATTATATTTATATTCAATTAAAACAATAAATATTACAAATCAATTCATTAAAAAAAATCTTTTCACAGTCCAATTAAATATCAAAAATAAAAACAAATCATGCCTTACAACGTTTCCTGCTAAATATTGTGGTTTTCTACATTACGGAAGTTAAATGCTTTTTGAATGCCAGTTTATGTCGTCTTTAAAGATGAAGCTCTTGGTGTGTTTGAGGAGTTGGGGGATTTATTTGTTTTGCATGCGTGTGGTTCAGAGGACTGTGTGTGTTGGAGGTCAGAGACGTGCTTCCTGGCCCTCTGCTGCTCCCTTTGGCTGCTTGACATTTCAGAGCGACACCTGTTAGCCTGTGGGGTGTGGCACTGGCTCTGATAACGGGGGCGAGAGACCCTCTCTACACAGGACCCCAGACGGGTGGCCTGGCATGTCGCCTGCATACATTTCAGCACAGTTTAATGTGGTTTATAATTCTGATCACTGTGAGCCATACCCATCTGCCTCCAGACTAAAATCTGTCTAAATAAATTATACTTCAGGACTTGATTTCAGAAATCGGAGCCTATTAAAAACGCTTTACTTTTAAATTGTTTTAATATAATTTATAATGTTTATGAGGTTGCATAGATATATGATTTCCATTACACGAGAGTAGATGTTAAAAGACATAGATATATGTATGGTTATTCTATATATCTACTGTTAGTAGTTATGGAATGAAAATGTAGGGAACACTATCTGAATTTAAAGGATTAGTTCACTTTAAAAAAAACTTTTGCTGATAATTTACTCACCCCCATGTCATCCAAGATGTCCATGTCTTTCTTTCTTCAGTCGAAAAGAAATTATGGTTTTTGATGAAAACATTCCAGGATTTTTCTCCATATAATGCACTTTGCTGGGCACCAAACGGTTCAAGGTCCAAAAGACAGTTTCAGTGCAAACTGTTCAAATGGCTTTAAACGACACCAGACGATGAATAAGGGTCTTATCAAGCGAAACGATCGCTCATTTAAAAAAGAAATAACAAAGTTTAAGTTTTATAAGCTCAAATGCTCGCCTTGCTCTGTTCTGTGTGACTCTCCTGTTCGAACTCGTTCATCAAAATGAACGAATCTTTTTCCGAGTCAATTCGTTCATTTCGTTTGTTAAATGAACCAAATGACTCGAAAAAAGATTTGTTCATTTTGATGAACGAGTTCGAACAGGAGAGTCACGAACGTGCATCACAGAACAGAGCAAGGCGAGCATTTGACATTATTAAACTTAAACTTTGTTATTTATTTTTGAAATGACCGATCGTTTCGCTTGATAAGACCATTATTCATCGTCTGGTGTCGTTTTAAAGCCATTTGAACAGTTTGCAGTTTGCACTGAAACTGTCTTTTGGACCTTGAACCGTTTGGTGCCCAGCAAAGTGCATTATATGGAGAAAAATCCTGGAATGTTTTCATCAAAAACCTTAATTTTTTTTCGACTGAAGAAAGAAAGACATGGACATCTTGGATGACATGGGGGTGAGTAAATTATCAGCAAAAGTTTTTTTTAAAGTGAACTAATCCTTTAATTATTTGTGCCCGATATTGTTAATCTTCTTTTGATCCCTTGCAATGTGTAGTATTTCAGTAAATGCTAAATTTAGTTAACATTGTTAATCTTTTCACTAATACATTTTGTTGTACTTGTCCATTTGCAGCAAACACACACAACCTGCAGACACTTCACACACTCCTGTCTACAGGATCTCCACTGAAGCCCCAGAGCTACGAGTATGTGTACAGCTGTATTAAGAACAATGTGCTGCTGGGATCCATATCAGGTGGGCTCTCTTTTCTTTTCCTCTTTTCTTTTATTTCATTGCATTGGATTGCATCTTCCCCTTCATTCCTTCAATTACCTGGCTTTTCCCCCCCTTTCTTCCCCCTTCCCTTCCATTTCCTGTTTCTTTTCTTTTCCTCTCTTCCTTTACCTGCTTTTCACTAGGGGTGACACGATTCTTCAAATCCTCGATTCGATTACATTTTCGATTTCTAAGGTCACGGTTCGATTCAATTTTTACATTTATTTTTTTTAAAGCCGAAACCGGCCAATCAGAATGCTCTCTGTCTTACATGCGCTTCATGAGGCACACACGCAAGGTCTCTCGCTCTCGCTCTCTCTGCCGTGCGCGCAATACGGTTTGGAGCACAGTTTTTTCTGTCTCGCATGCGCGCTCTTGCTCGCTCACTCTAGATTCCGGGAGAATTTAACTAATTTGCGTGCATCAGGGAGCCGCTATCAATATGCGGGAGACTCCCGGAACTTCCGCGAGACTTGGGATGTCTGCAAACTGTGGCTTTTTTGAAGTGCGAACGTTGTCAACATAACTCACTGGAAATCCCAAAAACTTTCACACCTGCGACTTCAATGAAAGAGGAGGGGGTTCAAGTTTTGTCGATGGGTCTCCTGCATCTGCAGTTGCCATGCTATCTTTTGAATGGCTGTAGCTAAGTTAGAGGAGGTTGACCATAGACTTGCAGCACTTCAACACATGTGTTTTTTTTCCGCTTGGCACGCCGACCGGACGTGACATGGAGGCGTGGCAGCATCGACGATTCCATTTTTTAATTCGAAGTTTGAGATTGTGAATTAATTTCGGTCGATTTTACCCTTACTTTTCACCCTTCCTTCCTTCCTTCCTTCCTTCCTTCCTTCCTTCCTTCCTTCCTTCCTTCCTTCCTTCCTTCCTTCTTTCCTTCCTTCCTTCCTTCCTTCCTTCCTTCCTTCTTTCCTTCCTTCACTTTTCTGCATTTGTCTTGCTTCCCCCTTCCTTTTCCCTGCCTTTCCCTTTCCTCCCTTTCTTCCTTTTCTGCATTCATTTTACTTTGTTTGTTTTTCTTTCCTTTTTTCCTTCCTTCCTGTCCTGTCCTATCCTATCCTATTGTTAGATTTTGCTGTATTTGGCCGAGTGTCGTTAGGGTGGCTCGCCAATGTATTTGAATTCTCTTATACATAAAATAAGTTAGCTTGACCAGAGTTCTTGTGGGGAGAAGAATTTATTGAAGGTATTAGTGTAGCACAGTTCTTCAGCAGCGATGTTAGCGTGTCGGCCTTCAAAGAATCTTAACCCAAAGTTCTGTCTGTGTTACAGCACTTTATACATGAAGACAAAAGGGCCACATACAATAGAAAACTGTTAGGACCTCCCACAGGAGATTGATCTACACTGCAATTTTGTTTCTTTGTCATTCACACCCATCAGTTCCTATGGGCCATGCCTCTGCAATGGGCCATTTGGTTCACCCCTTTACAGACACAGATAGAGTTGATTGTATCTGAGACACTGTCACAATGTAAATGCATTTGACTAAAGATGACTGAAAATACACATAATCTTTCACTATCCTATCCTATTCTGATCAGCCCATTCTTAATTTTCCTTCCAATGATCAGCACTCCAGCTCTTCTTGATAGTATGGTGTGTGTGTGTTTCACAGTGTGATCTCATGCCTGCAGGGTCCTGTGGAAACAAATTAGCATCAGCGTTAACAGCTGTGGTGGACTGCTGATTTTGTGTGCATGAGTGTGTGTTTGTGACTGGGGTCTCGCAGCATGTTTCTCTCACACACCACCTGTGCCCAGTTTTTCCCTGCGGTTTCACCAGATGAGCTTTGCTCTCATGGCAGGTCAGCGGCAGCCTGCTACAGTCATGTTATTCAGATTGAACCTTTCAGAGCTATTTGTTATTTAACTTCTTGTGTGCAGTGCTTGTTCCTGCACGAATCATTAGATATGAAGTTGCAGCCATGATATTTTTAGTCTTTGCTTTCCACTCCTTGATGCTGATTGGTCATTAGCCGCTTTTCATTTACGAAAAACCATGACCGTACATGTACATCACTGAACAGAAGTTGAAGCGTTAATGGTTTCCATGGTAAATGTTTGTAAGATTTTAATCAAACTTTCCATTTTTTTTTGTTAAAAGGTGACCAATATGTGAATCTGAAATTATAGACAACGTAATATTATTATCTTAAATAAGTGACACAGAGATTTTGATGCATTCAGAAGACATTTTTGCGCATGTCTGCCATGAAGGCTTTTTGATTTGCCATTTGGCTCATATTTGATACCATGACAGCAAATCTCATTGAATTCTGACATGTTTGCAGAGCACACGAGCCTCATAATATTTCAGAAAAAGGCTTTGACTGACGTTTCTTGACTCCTGAGGTTTTTGAAATGTCAGGCTACATAAGATGCCTGCTGGAAAACAACAGCTCAGATACACAATGCTCGTCTTCAGTCCTGATCTCAGATAGCCTCTGAAATATTGAGACGATATTCGCTTTGTCCAGGTTCAGGGTCCTAACCCTTCCTCCCCTTAGATATGTGACTTCTGCCAACCCGAGGCAGATTTGACCTTGACCCCAATGTCAGGCAGAGCATATGTGACGGGGCTTGTTTCCTGCTGCTCCTGTCACAGTGCCAGCCAGACTCCTGAGTGCAGAGGGGCAGCTGGCAGGAAACTTTAGCACTTTCAGCCACCCAGAATCACCTGAATCCAATAGACCCCCCAGTATCACCCACCATCTGTCGCATACACACATACATGTATTGTCCCAGCAACCTTTCTGTCTTTTTTTTATTTCTCTCCCATTTTCTGTCTCTTTTATAATCTGACTTTACAATCATTACATTTGTCAATTACTGAGACTTATTTTTATCTACACAGGTGTCTGTTTGACATCTCCTCTCCATTTTCCTTCACGAAACCTCATTATTTTGAAATATTGATTGTCTCGCTTTTTCTTTTGGCTCGCAATATCAATTTGCAAATTTCTTTTTCTCTCTCTCTCTCCACTTTTCTCTGTGCTGGCATTATTATGACTGAGCATCTGAGCTGCTCACTCATGTTGTCTGGTTTGTTGTTATGTTGGGTGACTCATTAAATATAGGCCTAAACTTACTCTACAGAAATACGAGAATGCAAATGCTTCTAGATACACAAGTATACGTTTGTGTGTCATTGAGTTTCAAATTTGTGTCCATGCAATTCATAACACAAGTACCCGTTGCACTTCTCATCATTGCCACAAGGTGTACTATATTGTGCATTAGTCTGACTGTGAACTGTCATTGTCTTCAGTCAGTTTCAGATCAACTACTGTCATGGGGGAGCAACAGTTTGAGGACAGTCTTGCTGAGAGAGCTAGTTAAAAACAGCATGTTTATAGCAGGCTGCCATTAAAGCACATCATAGTGTTTTTAACTTTGAGTTCAGCTTATCATGGGAGGATCCAGAGTGGGGGTGGGGGGGATTGCTTGCTACTTTTGTTTAGTTACTTGCCAGCACTTTTTTTGGCTACCAAAACAAGCTTTTTTTAGTATCACGTGGACCAGTTTCATTCTTAAAGAAAGACCTGAGGTTGTTGGACCAAACAGATATTTGAGCACCTTTGTTTAGCTTGTTCCTTTTGTTCATGTCTGATAAACAAATCAATAAGGAAGGGCTGCAGTATAGGAACTGCGATCTATATATAAATGAAGGCAGGAGATCAAAGCTACCAGTAAACTATGCCAACAAGTTTGCATTAATGAAAACATCCCATCAGTTCCATTTGCTTTAGAAGTGTCTCTCCTATATTATGGAACAATGGAAGATCTGTCTCTGTCTTTGCGAGAATTTCTCCCCAAACCTACGAGATTTTCTTGCCTTGAACATGTTGACCACCTTTAAAACTGTATATTAACGTCTTTAGTGTTTCCTCAGGTGGCACAGACATCATTTCATGCTTCATGGGCCAGAACATGACGGTGCCCGTTTACAGAGGAGAAATTCAGGCCCGAAATCTGGGCATGGCTGTGGAGTCCTGGAGCTGTGAAGGTGAGATAAAGCTCATGTTTATCTCTGATTTTATGCTCAAGACATATATATGTATGTATATGTGTGTTGAGCATATTTATATTAGCGCTGTCAATCAACAAAAAATTTATTGCAAATTTCTGTAATTAATCGCTACTAACATTAAAGTTTTTTAATATATTTTTATATTGTAATAATTTCACCGTTAATCTCCAAATTAATGTAGAAACAACATAAAGACAGTATATTTTAAATATTTGATCCAACAAGTGGAAAATAGTCATTGAATAAAGTTAACAAATACTTCACAGTCCTCACTGCATAAATGATCATTTAAATATAGATTAATCCTTATTAAAGCTACAAAAGTTATTCAGTCAAGAGCAGCGAGTGATTTTCTCTTTGTCTTTTGTTCTTTGATTTATTATTAATGAAAGACAGTCATTAAAGTGTATATATATATATATATATATATATATATATATATATATATATATATATTAAAGTCACCATAAAATAGTTCATATTTTTTAATGTAATATTGCCGTATTTATTTCTTTAATCAAAATAACTTCCTCTTCCCAATGCAACGGAATCTCTTCTCTGATGACGTGTTTACTGTATGAGGGCAGGACAACCTGTCACTCACATGAAATCAGGCCAATAGCAAACCACGACGATGCAACTATCCAATCATTTCCTGATGGACAAAATCAAGTCCCGCCCTACAATTTTTTTTTGTGCGAGAAACCTTGGATAACACTTGGATATTTACATCACTAGGGAAGAAAAGTATGTTGCAACTTCAGTTTCATGCTGATTTAAATAGTTTTGAATCTGAAAGGTGGTTTGATTGAAATCATAAGTATGTATATCACTGGACCAAATCAGCATACTAGAAGGATTTCTGAAGGATCATGTGACATGACTTGAGTAATGGCAGCTGAAAATTTAGCTTTGCCATCAAAGGAATAAATTACATTTGAATATATTAAAATGGAAAACAGTAGGTAATGTAGATATATTATATATTGTATAAAAATATTATATAAAGCAAATATATATTTACAATCTCACCTACAATAATGCCAATGAACTACATCAACTAGGAGAATAATTGTGATTTATCTCTGTTGTCTCAGATCAACAAACCATTTAAGATGTATTTGTGATTTAAAAAACGGTAAACCCCGTTTAGAAGGTTTACCTACCGTACTTTGTTTTGCCTAACGTTACCACTTAACCATGGTAAAAACCCTGCCTTTGTAGCTTCAATAACGCTGTTTTGTTTGGTGTGTTTTTCAGGTAAGCCAGTTTGGGGAGAGAGTGGCGAACTGGTGTGTTTGAAGCCCATCCCGTGCCAGCCCACTCATTTCTGGAATGACGAGAATGGCAGCAAATACCACAAAGCCTATTTTTCCACCTTCCCAGGTAACCCTTCACATGACATCACTCCAAATCTGTTTCAAAACCTAGTGAGCAGCCTCCACAGGCAGCAATTTTAGGCAACAGTCCAGAATGCATTGCTTCAAGCAGTCATTGATTGCCTACAGAGACTCACAGATGCACTCCGCTACCTTCCTTCAAAGCGCTTGAGTTGAGAAGTGTCCACAGGGAAGTGCGTTTTCTGACTGATTTAGAAAACAAACAAGTCGTCCCTTTGATTTAGGAAACAAACGTGCCACTTCAGCTTGTTCAGAAGAGGCTGCAGCTTTTCCGCTGTATTGATTAAATGATTTCTGAGGGCGAAAGGGAGAAAAAAGAACCTGACAGCTTTTGTTAGCACAAGAAAAATCTACTTGAGGCCTTATTGCTGTCAGTTTGGAGAAGTAGGAAAAGGCCAATCAGGGCAGTTCAGCTTCATTAGCGTTCTCAGCCCGCCAGCGGTCAGACATCTCTGCTTAGATGCACCATAGATGCTTCTTTCTCTAGCTATTTGTTTCATCCTTCTCTATGTGTTTATTTGTGTCTCTGTACCTCCTCATTCAGGATTCTGGGCCCATGGCGATTACTGTAAGATAAATCCAAAAACGGGAGGAGTCGTCATGCTGGGGAGAAGGTAAGTTTCACTTTGTTTTGTTGTTTTGCAGATTTTGATAATCTTCTCTAGTTTCTGCTTAGATTCTTATAATATTGCCGTGTTGTTGTATGGTGATACTCTGAGTTTGGATATGCTGCTAAAAAAGCATTATTGTTTTTTTTTATTTTCAGTGATGGAACTTTAAATCCTAATGGTGTTCGGTTTGGGAGCTCCGAAATTTATAACATTGGTGAGAAATAAACATCACACTTTTTCCTGAAATGAGTAGACCAATTTGAGCTGGTTTGGACCAGACTAAATTCACAAGTCTTTTTAACTACAGTAGAGTATTGTATATGAAGCATGTTGACATCCACCAAGCCCTTTTTTCAAAATAGACGATATATTGGTACCATAATGGTTATAAGTTCATATATGCTAAGTTTGAGGTCAGTATGTACTTTTATGTTTTTGAAAGATGTCTTATTTTTGATCAAATAAATGCAACCTTGATAAGAATACAGTAAAAATGTAATATTATGAAGTATTATTACAAATGATCTGTTTTGTATTTTGATACATTTTAAAATGTCATTTATATCTGTGATGGCAAAGCTGATTTTTCAACAGCCATTACTCCAGTGTACAGTGTCACATGATCCTTCAATAATTATAATGCTGATTTGGCACTCAAGAAACATTTATTCTTATTAATTTTGAAAACAGTTATGCTGCTTTCTTTGATGAAAAGAACAGGTTTTATTTGAAATGGAAATAATTTGATCACATTTTAACACTTGCTGAAAGTGTCAATTTCTTTAAAAAAAAATTTAAACAGTAGTGTATATTGTAATGTATTGGTCAATGTCAGATGATATTGGTCGATATTAAATATTTAATTTTTGTATGCTTATTTCAATTATTTTTACATTACCTTTGCTGTCATCTAATGCTCACTTAAAGTTCATATTTAAAAACACAAGAGTTTTAATAAAACCGTAATCCAATGCAAATATCAAAACAAGTATTGTACATTATATTGTTGTGATGCCAAATTAGAAATACACAACTCGGAATTTTAAAATCTGCCTTTTATCGATTATCAGCAGCCATAACATGAAAATAATTATCGCATATATAATTATTTAGAATGTCATAATTAGACAGTGTTTAAGACCCTTGTTATGGCCTCTCTTCTTCCAGTGGAAGCCTTCGAGGAAGTGTCCGACAGTCTTTGTGTCCCTCAGTACAACAGTGACGGAGAAGAGAGGGTGATTCTGTTCTTAAAGATGGGACCCAATAAGACCTTCAGTCAAGAGCTGGTGGGGAAGATCCGCAGGGCTATCAGAGTAGCTCTCTCTGCCCGACATGTCCCAGCATTGATCCTGGAAACCAAAGACATCCCGGTAAGCACACTTGCACTTTTCTTCTTTTTGTAGCCATTCTCTCGCTTGTCCTTTCTCTGCTTTATTTTCTGACCTTTTCCGTCTGATTGACTTTACATTTCCTTCGCCTGTAGTACACTATTAGCGGAAAGAAGGTTGAAGTTGCAGTAAAGCAGGTGGTCGCGGGTAAGGACGTCACACAGCGAGGGGCCTTCTCAAACCCAGACTCTTTGGACCTCTACAAGAACCTGCCTGAACTCCAAAACTTCTGAACAACAACTCCTGAAGGTCCAGTGCTTCTGTCTTTGAAGGGTTCGGATTCTCTGGACACTGTTGGAAAGTCTGAAGGAATTTATAGAGCTTTCAAACATCGAAGCTTTTCTGCACGTTGTGGCTCCTACTCAAACTCAGCTACCCACTGGTCCCGATGGAGTGAGTCCATACACACCATACTTCCTCAAAAGTGTAACTGGGTTCCTCTTGGGTAGAAAGTTGAGAGTGCCATTTTATGAAATTCCAACTTGGATCTTAAAGGGACATTTTATCTGCTTCTGTCATTGCGTCCACCAAGCGTTATTCCCAAGAGATGTACCAAACTCACAAACAATTCCCAAATCTGATATCTTAATATACCCGATATGTCGGTCCCATATTTTACCTCTCGTATTTTGATACAATGTCACTTTAACCTTAATGAAGGTGTGGGGAAATCTGACCATGTATGTTTTGAGGCTTTAAAATGACACTGTTTATGCTCATATATCTATATGAGTCATATACAATGATATGTTACTGAATGTTATGGATTTAAGGTTAAACCATTACTCCTGTAGGAATACCAACTTCTTGGGTCAAACCAACTGTTTGCTGGAACCTCTAACTTTTATCAGGCAAAGTTTTGTCCCCGCTGGTACCCGAATTGCAAAATGTTGGCGTAATATATTCAATTCAACTTTTTAATTTTTTTCCCTCAAAAGCCTGACTTCCTGTCTGGAAACTAGACTATATTTGTATTTTTGAACGATATCCTATCAGTAAATAGTGATTCATCACATCTGCTGTATTTGTATAGTATATTTTACTGTCCAGAACTACACTCTGTTGTCCACTGAGTGTAGATTTGAATTTAAGCTTATGTAGCTCTCTGGCCAAAAAGAGTTCTGTATATTTTTACATATATACTGTATATATTTGATTCTGTATATGCAGCTGCATGTTGTGTGCTACACTAGATGCCGCCTTCACAATGACTCTATTTGGTCTCTCTTTCGGTATGCCTTATATCAAGTTGTGAAAAGTTTTCATCAACAACTGAAGCTCATCTTCATTCTCTGAGCCATTCTTTGGTACACAGTATATAGCTTTATCTTTGTCATTCCCAAACACATCTAACAATCCATTTCATCATATTTCCCATCAGCACATCCAGGGACTGTCACTGTAGGCATTGCCCATGAGAGATTCCTCCATCACGTTCCAACTCAATAAATCTATCATCAGAATGCTGCGTACATAAGAAAAAGCTGCGTTTGTTTGTTGTTTGAGGTTTTGAAAGTCAGCAAGACCATTTCAATTACATGATAACCGGATAACCTCATAATATTACGTTATTAGATCATAAGGTTATATGAATTTTGCATTAATAGTAAAGGGAAGAATTCTGGGCAGTCCATATGTGTGGGTTGTAAACAAGAAACGCAACAAAAAATTGAAAATATTGATTTATCTTGGATAAGAATCAAGCTGTTAGACGTGTACTGATGATGCATTTATACTTGCTTTGCAGCATATCACAGAGACATATATCAACACATTTCACAGAAGCTGTGAACAAGCCAACATCCAGAAAATACTTTTTTGGTGATACTGAGAGAGGATATGCTACAAACGCTCACAACAAAAGCCAGAAAACGTGCTGAATTTTAAATAATTTTAAAATCATGTTGTGCTAGTAATGTTGTTTACAACAGAGAGCAGTATTGATGTACTTTTTTATGGGTCTTTTTTCTTTCCTTTCAGGCAAGTTTTTGGCTTGTTGTAAACATGGGTCTATTTAGTAATGTAATCTGGGTTTGCTACATGTTTAACCTGTGAGTAAATCCATTTGACCTCAGTGAGGACCCCTTACTTGTTTTCCTAAAAGAAACTATGCACTACAGACTTAAACCATGCTTTTTATACGAGATAGCTGTAGTGAGGCTAGACATAATGAAACTCAAAAGGGTGGCCTGGCCCTTTAAAAGGCTTATTTTCTTCCAAATTGAAATCATTTGGTATAGGGGTGCAGATGGCAAGCAGTTGTGCAGATCGCTTGAATTAAATCAGTCCTTATTTCCGCTTCAGACAAGCAGGGACGGGTCTGTTTCACCTCATGCCCACCCTTGTGCCACCATATGCCCCATATCTGCTCAGTGTTGCTGACAGAACCTTCCTGGTCTGGGACTGCGGACATAAGGAAAGCTACCAAATCCTTATTTATTGATAGTCAACTGTGGATTTTGCTGTACGTTATCACTTGTCTCAAACATTTTTGTCCCCCAACATTTAATTTGTCCTTACTCTCAGCAACTTCATGAACATTCCATGGAAATTGATTCCATTGTATTACAGTGTTGTTTTATTTTCCTTTTTGATACATGGAAACAGAAATACTGGAAATAATTTTTCTTGATATTGTATTACAATAATAGTATTTGATGTACTACTAGTAAATGAAAGGTGCTTTCTTCTCGGTGGCTAACGTAATATTCCTGCTTTGAAATAATATTACTGTACTTGCTGAATGTGAATAATGATTACTAAAATAGTTGAGAATATATTATGCCTATATACTGTATATCAATGAACCGACCGCTTCAGTTATACCCACTGGCAGCATACATGCATTTCGTGTATAAAGATGCTTACTGTAGTCCTAATTAAACAACTAAGAATTTATTGTGGCTTGCTGTGGTTTTATTGATCTCGCATGATTTGCAGTATTATTTTTATGCTTGCTTTGATCAGTCAGATGATTAGAGAGAGAGAGAGAGAGTGTGTGCAAACACACATACAGTATACATACGTACAACCATCTCTAGGGTTTACAGAGAATGGTCCAAAAAAGAGAAAATATCCAGTGAGTGCAGTTCTGTGGCTTGTTGATGTCAGAGGAGAATGGCCGGACTGGTTTGAGCATCTCTGAAAGCACCACACGTCGAATCTTGAAGCAGCTGGGCTACAACAGCAGCAGAAGACACACCGGGTGTCACTCCTGACAGCTAAGAACAGGAAACTGAGGCTGTAATTTTCACGGGCTCACCAAAATTGGACAATAGAAGATTGTAAAAATGTTGCCTGGTCTGATGAGTCTCGATTTTTGCTGCGACATTCTAATGGTTGGGTCAGAATGTGGTGAAAACAAATTGAAAGCATGGATCCATCCTGCTGCTGCTGGTGTAATGGTGTGGGAAGTATTTTCTTGGCACTTTGGATCCCTTAGTATGAACTGAGCATCATTTAAATCCCACAGCCAACCTGAGAATTATTGCTGACCATGTCCATCCCTTTATGACCAGTCTTCTGATGGCACTATACTCTATATAAATAACCTTCACGGTCAACAGATCTCAATAGAGCACCTTTGGGATGTGATGGAACGGGAGATTCGTATTATGGATGTGCACCCAACAAATCTATAGCAACTGCGAGATGCTATCATATACTGTATATATATACACTTTAGTTTAGGGTTCAATTCTCACTATTAACTTGCTTATTAGCATGCATATTTCTAGAATACTGGGTGTTTATTAGTAGGCTACTTATAAAGCACATATTAATGCCTTATTCTGCATGACCATATTCTACATCTACCCACCTTAACAACTACCTTACTAACTATTAATAAGCAGCCAGTAATTAGAAGTTTGAGGCAAAAGTCGTAGTTGATAGTTAGTTAATAGTGAGAATTGGACCCTAAACTAAAGTGTGACCATACTATTTATTAATATATTTTATGTAAATATGTCATATTTATTTAAATTATTAAAATATGTGTATTTGAGATGTATTAAGATGACAAATATTATACACAATTATTAACAATCTGAATAGTAAAATTTGAACTTTGTTATATGACACAAACAAAAACAGCAGTTTCATTTACCTTAACTTTTGGATCATGTGGAAGTTTTTTTTAGATGCACGACATCAAGATCCTTTGACATCAATAAAATAATTATAATTATAATATATAATAGCCAATATTTGTTTGGATATTTGAACTTTTGCTTTTTATTATTAGCATTTAACATGTTTTTTTTCCCCTGCTGACCATGAACATATTAGATCAAACCTTATGAATCCATAAAAAAAAAACATTACAGTCCACCCCTAAGGATACTGAATTATGAAACATGAATTTGATCAAATTTATATAGAATAGGTATTTAAATGTAATGGTAAATCTTTTTGGTATACCCTTTTGGAAGCAGGTTGAAGGTTTATTGCTATTCTCTTAAACTTAGAGTAAAACGAAGAGTACATTTTTTGACCGCCTGTCACAGCATGATCCCAGAACACCTCTCAAAAATAAAAGGTGCGGTGAGACGCTGTGGCTGCCTCATTTGAAACCAGATTCATCTCACTCTCCACCCTGATGTTTTCAATGTGATGATCAAAATGAAATCCTATCTGTGTGAGAGAGAGAGAGAGAGAGAGAGAGAGAGAGAGAGAGAGAGAGAGAGAGAGAGAGAGAGAGAGAGAGAGAGAGAGAGAGAGAGAGAGAGACAGCCTGAACTTAAATGAAAGGTTTCAAAGATCAGACAACACCATCCCCATATGAATGCCATCATTTGTAGTAAGAAAAGACGAGACAAATTTGTGCGGATTCAATTTTGAGGCTCATTGAAGGAGGATGAGAAGAGAGGGCCGGAGGGTCAGGTGCGCGAGTGTGTGTGAAGTATTGTCACCCGTCTTCCTAGAGATGATTGAAATGTTCTGGCTTGTCTGTCAGCAAATTGCCTCTGCTCAACATGTAATCTGCCGACTGGCCACTTGCAGAGAGCGTTTTACATCGAAGTGTGAGTGTGTTTAAATGGAAAGGTAGGGGGTATTCATTTTGGAGCAGATGGAAAAAAGGAGACAGGGTCTGACAGAAACACAGAGGGGGAGCAGTGTGATGAAGGACGTCCCTTCCCGTTAAGTCATCTTTTGATATCTCTGATCATGATAAATCACAGCATTGTGGAAAAACCTTGTAATATAGCCTCTGATAAAAACCACAACACAAAATATGTGCATACATATAACATAAGCTTGCTTTCAAACCTTTTACCTTTAAATGGAGCATCTTAACTGTCATGGAACCTCGTAAGGGACTGATTTGAAATGCTCTAGTGGTCCGTGCAAATAGCTCATAAGAGATTCGACTGTTGAGTTTTTTTACACACATACACACACACACACACACACACACACACACTGATAATGAGTTTGTCCACATATCTTTGGCTATGTATATATAGATCTATTATGTTCATTTAAGCTTTTTTACTAAAAAAATAGGCTACTCAAAACAAATATCACAGATAAGTTAGGACAAATCACAGTTAAGACAAATAAATATAATATATAGATAATGTTTATACTGTATTTACTGTACTTAAATAGTAGGATACTTTTAATTACTATTTAGGCACAAACAAGACTCTTGTTTATACATCCATGTATTGGCTAAATTAATTAAGTTTATACTGGCATAATTTATTTAAAGATGTTACATGGATGGGATTTTTATGTAAATGCATCAAAATTGATAAATCA